ATATTCGAGTAAATGAAGTATTTGAGATATAAAAAATTGGATTTATAAAAGAATGATATACCACGGAATTTCGAGAATTTGGAGAATTCGGAGATTTCGAGATACTGGGTAAATCGAGGTACCGAACAATTCCAGATAGCGGACAATTCCAGATAGCGGACAATTCCAGATAGCGGACAATTCCAGATACCGGACAATTCCAGATACCGGACAATTCGAGATATAATTTAATAATCCGAAAAATTGAATTTATAAAAGAAGAAGGACATTTCGAGATACCAGGCAAATCGAGATACCGGGCAAATCGAGATATAGGACATTTTGAAAAAGAAATTTTTTTTTTTGGCATATATTCATTAAGTTTATGTAGCCCACGCGATGTCTCCTCATTTACTAAATCCCCCACGAACTTCCTCGGCCGTCGTCGCGTGCAGGTCGTGCCGATGGAAAAAGGACAGGGGATGATTGATGGCGGGGCAGCCCATTGTTCGTAGGAGGAATGTTTACGTGCCCATTGTGAAAAGACACGGCTCGGCAAGCGGAAAGTCGAAATGCCGAGGCGTTAATGCTTCCGAACGCTGCTGCACGAAATCAGTTTCGTTCGTATTGTGTACGGAATTATTGCCAGCAGTAAGTCTTGGGGCTTCAGTTTTCATGCAACCTCCCCCGTCCGCAACGCCTAACATGACACTGGCATAACAGAGTTTTGAGTTTGTTTGTAGTTAGTGAAAGTAAAAGAAACCCAGAGCATTTTTTTAAAACTTATTGTACAGGAAATCTGTAGTGAAGTGTTTTTAAACGGGGGTTGGTATCGACCCACTGAGGGTCGATGAAATTTTAAAGGGTGTCAATGATGATCGTGGATCGATTGCTGAATATGGACCGACAAATAATCTGTGTAATCATGATACCATTGATGACATAAAATAACTAGAGGTGCTCCAATGGCACATACTTTCTCGTATGTTTGAAAATGGTTACGAAATAATAAAATATTGTAATTTATTTTACACTAAAAACTCGGTTATAACTAGAAAAAAGTCTAATTCAAACGAATCGCCTCCCGTGCTTATCTGCATTTATTTCCATTGACAGGATGAGTAGTCAGTTATTACTTTTAGAAATGAAACGAACATGAAATAATTTTAATGTTACAGTATTTACAGAATATACTAAAGAAGAGCAAGAATAAATTCACACAAGCCTACCTTGATTAGATTTGAAGTGAGCTTTCGATTTTTTTAATGCCATAATCAACGATTAAATCTTCTTAAAGTATAGAAGTGTTTTATTGATGAAACTCCTGTGTTGCTATTTTCCGAACTGGCAACGCCTGAAACTAAGCACGCGAAATTCGAATTTACAATTCCGAAATTTTTGCAATATTCGAAAATGCTGAGTGCGCCAAAAATAGGACCATCACCACTATCTTGACAGTTCTTTGCTACATACTATAAACTTAAAAAAAAAGAGCCGTTTCTGAGAAAATTGTTTAAAATTATATTTAAAAGCGCCTATGTTTCATTCAAAATTACGTAAAAATATTCATATTATCCAAATATTGAACGTGACCAGTTTTGAAGAACTGTTTGGATGACACATTTCATTTTTTTAAAATTATTTTCAGAACTGTAATTGTAGGAAAACTCCAAAAAATTTTGAATATTTACAATTTTCGATAAATCAGAGTTTTCAACGAACATGAAACCTGTACCATTCTCTTAAAAAAAAACTACAGCAGAACGTCCTGCAACACTATCCAACAACAAAATTTAATAAAAAACGAAGGAGCCATTGTTTTGAAAATTAGGAAAATGACCCAGGGACTTCCGTGGAATGTTCCTCCTAAAATTAATATATTGATTTCAAATTCAAGGTACCGGGACATAAACCAGATCAATTGGAAAATATCAATTGGAAAATATCAATTGGAAAATATCAATTGGAAAATATCAATTGGAAAATATCAATTTTGGAGAAAATCATCTGAATAGCTTAGCCGCTAACATTTGTTCACAGACAGATGGACGGACACACGGAAAGACGTTTTGCCGTCATTCGATTTTTCGGTAAACGACGTTAAACTAGTCATAAAGATTGCAAGATAGTAATCTTCGTGATTTGGTTGGATTATCTCTCACCTTTGAAAGTGAAGGTTACAAGGAAGAGTGGGCAAGAAGGCAAACAGTTTTCTCAATTTATTCAATACAAACTCACACATTAATCGCGCCACTTCCAAAGGAGTATTTTGTGTACCAATACACACTTTCTAAACCACGCTAATCACTAACAATTCACAAATATAAATGGGAAGAAGTTCAAACTGAAAATAGTCCCCTTTTGAAATATTTTCTGGATTCACTTATGTCCATCGATAGAACCGAATATAGACTTTCCCCACCTACGACTCACCGTCTAGCATATTTGTTGCCCAACAAAACGTAATTTCAGAGATTTGTCAGGTGATTACGATTTTAAGGATACTAGTAAAACCTACGCGGTGGAACATCAGGTGAATTGTATCACATCGAATTGTTTGAACGTTTTACGATGTGGAATGTTCAATTCACCAAAACTAAGTTCTGTAGATTTCAGTCGTGGAATCCTACTTAAAAGTTTAGGAAACTTTTTTTTACTCTTATTTAGTCTTCAATACCAAGCAGAAAACAATGGGAGTAGAATTATGAGGTCGCGAAAGTAAGCCATGAATATGTATAATTAGTATGAAACAACAATGAAAACAATCTGGCTTTAGCTACCTCCAGAATTTCATTCAGGAAAACACAACTTTGCTTAGTTTCTATTTGAAAAACAGCGTAATGCTTCGGTATTGCTCGCTCGTGCATGCTAACGCGTGACTTCTTTGTTCTACTTGCCGATGCCTTCTGCTCAGAATCAAAGATCACGGTAGTGTGTTGAAAATTTTCTAGCAGTTCACCCGTTCCTCAGGGATCCCGTAATTAAAATAATCCCAACTTGTTTTCGATGTCTTTAACATTATGTGGTTAAATTTTGAAACAATTCAAAGAATCAATTCTTCAAATGTCATTTTTGAGTAGCACTTGAGCGAATTTGAATGGTTACAGTAAAGTGCAAAATATTTTTTTCTAGTCGTTCGTCCATTCCTTGAGGATTCCGGAGATAAAATAACGACCCGTTTTCGATGTTTAAATATTAGATACTTAAATTTTGAAGCAATTCAAAGATTTCGCTCCTGCGAACATCTTTTTTAGAAGCACTCTGAAGGTACTGGGTGCGAAATATTGAATTTTATCAAGGGAGCTGATATGAGATTATCACAAAGGAAAATATTATTGCCTTTATCAATGATATTTACAGTATTAGTTACCACTTGGAAAATTAAACTGTATAATTCTAAAAGATTAAATATACCTGTAACAAGTACCTCAGATGCTGGATCAACGACCCCATCTCGATCAGGTTTTTTTGTACAGTTTCCTGATCCATTGTGTGTAAGCTGAGATGACCCTTCGTTTTGCTTTTGGCCATAACTATAGCTTCACTATTTGTCAATGTTTTCTTGAGCTTTGAAGGGAAAGTAGATATTCAAATAATAGTTCTCGGTTTTCTCTTGAAGTCGATTCCTTCACGTGAGAACACTACCGATAACAGGCAAAATCCGTAGCTGATTTCCCTTTGCATGAAGTTTTTATTACTCCGGAGCGAACCAGACCATTTCCATCCCAATTCTCGTAAAACACGCTCGTTACTATTTGCATTCACAATTCACCTTGATATGAAATAGATTCCGAAGTTCAATAAACCGTGTTGCATTTCTCTCCTGTACGTCACAGCTTTTTTAAAACAGTTTTTTTCTTTGATTTTAAATAAATGAAAAATGATGAAATCCCTTTCCAAGGAGCCGAGCAAAATAAACATTTCCGGCCAACCCTCTCCAAGATCTCACGTAAACAACTGCTTCTTTAAGGCTGTCGGCCGCCTTGAGTTTCCATTGCAGGCTAACGACCGGGTAGTTATCTTGTTCCGCAGACACTCGAGGACGGGATCATCCACAGCGCGTTGGTTGGCCCGGCGGGAGAGCTTCACTGCTTCCACGGCCGTCTGCCTTCCTTGACGCACAGTGGGCCGCAACCGCCGATCACTTTTGACCGCTGAACCCAACGGCACGTATCCGTGGTCCAGGACGAAAGCAGTTTAGCTTTCTGCCAACGCGATTAACGCGCGTGGATTACGTAACCTTGCGCTCCGACGTTCTAGAGTCAACGCAAGAGATTGCACAACAGTCCGTTCGCCTACTCCGATTAAAGCGTAAGGAGAATTGTCAGGGACGCTGGGAATCCGCTAGGACGCGGTTTATCCGATCGGGAGCTTTCTTTACAAATTAATATTTTCGTGCTGAAGCTCCGGATTGGATAACCGCGTTTCAGCTAATCAAACGCCAACTCACTCTCACGTTTTAATCAGAATACACAAGTTGGAAATAAAAACACGAGAAATGCGAAATGATAGATCTGTCTTATTCTACCGCAAGTAAACGCATCCAATCTAATCTGTCGTACGGTTCATTTGAAGTCGTATATAAAATTGACTTCTATCCTCCTCTGAAGAAACCTTCTTGAGCCGTTTCTGCCTAGACCATGAAGACAACTCTTGGTGTTGGAGCTTGGTGTGGGTGTGAATGAAAAACGTTGGCAGCTAATCGGCTACAATTGCAGCGACATGAACGATCATATACCGGCTTTTTTTTTCAGGTTTTCTTGAGGATTCACTATAACAAAGGACCAATTTTTGAAGTTTGGAAACAAATGAACGTCATACAGGGTGATGACATCGCAAGACATACCAATAAAGCCATTTACAAATGACCTAAATATAAACAATGGCGGCGGCGATGGTGTAACGGTTAGCGTATCGGACTGGTACTGAGTATCGAACTACCCGGGTTGGCGGGTTCAAACCCGATCGAAGGTACACATTCCTTCGGAGGGGAAGTAAAGCCGTCTGTCCCATGTTAGTAGATTTACTTGCATGTAAAAGATCCTCAAGCCTAAATGACGCCTCTGAGCTAAATTCAAATCGCCTGTTTCTCGCCCAAGAAATACCTTCTTTCTCTGCTATATGAAAGGAGCGTAGCGAAATTTGCGTGGTCAGACGGAAGAGCGGGCCTGATGGCCCGAGTCTCGCCACGTAAAATAAATCATAAATTCAATTTAATTCAATTCAAACAAACGCATTGATGAATTGAGTACATGGTCATAACGATTATGTTGCCAGCACTAGCCAAGCAGTAGCTCCAAAGGAGTCGTTTCTTATAGTAATCTCTCGATAATAACGCGCTTGACCAACCCATTTGCATTTCAGTGTATGCAAGTAAGTATAAATGACGTTGACGTGCCAACTTATGTGATTAGTGACTATTGGTCGAAAATGTCTTAAAAGGTTCTCCCATAGACTGTGTGGTGCCGTTGAAATTCATTTGAGCAGATTAGTTGCCGGCGCGTTTCATATATACCTGACCCCTTGAGTTGAATCTCCGTAATGTGAAGGCAAATTTTATGCAAAGAAACATCGATTTATCGATATTTCGATGCATCACCAAAAGGTTTTCGATGCCAATGAAAACATGGACGTTTTGAATATGATGAAACGCACTGCGTTTTCCCATCCAGTTTCCATTTCTAAACGGAGTATTTAAATGAAATACCGATAATTTTATTGTTTGGACACGTAGAAGTGATTTATTAATAATATTGTTTATTGAAAGTAAAGAATGAAATAAGTGAATAAACGTGCTATATTCCATTTATTCACTTTCATCCATAAATCATCGATATAAAACGTCATATATCTAATAAACACAATACGTAAATATTACTTTAAACACGGATATCCTGCCTTAAAGCACTCTGCCACCTCTATTACCTAACCTATATCCTATACAGACAAGGTTCAAATGCGATTTAATCATATTACCACGTTCAAAATCGTCAACATGTTTTTAAACAACAAAGTTTCTGGAAAAAAATATTTCGATCTGGAGAAAAAAAACAAACAAACGAAAACAACACGTCAATGCTAATATATCGAAGTTTCTGATTGAAAATATCGATGCTTTCTTTAACAAGGCTTATATTTTTTGCCGTCCCTATCCTCCTTACAGACTTCACGCAGCAGGACGACGGGCGAGACTTCCGCCCCAC